CTCCGACTACCAGGTTTCGACTCCGCCTTCCCAGTGGCGTTTTGGAGTCCGCTTAAAGGAGCAGCATCGAGAGGGATAGTGAGCGAGAACTACTGTAATGCGCAGGAACCGGTACTTTCGGCTTTGCAGAGAGAGGAGAAGCCGGAAATAAAATGACGAAGGGTCAGAGATTCGGGAGGAATAGAATTTGAAGGGAACGCAACCATTCAACAAGTACTAATTGAGCGCTGTTCTAGGCACAGAGGGTAAAGCCACAGACAAGCAAACGCACTCATGGAGTTTGCATACTAACCGGGTGAGACAGGGGAAAGGAACAAATGACAAAAATTTCAGGTAGTGGTAAGGGGTGTGAGAAAAATAAAGTAGGGGATAGAGTGAAATTATAAGCTGCATCTCAGAGGAGACCTTTGTGCCCATACGTGCGTGATATGAAGGAATGAAACTAGGAAGTTAAGGGATAGAGAAGAGGAACGGCTTTCCAGGCTGAAAGAAAAACAGCCATAAACCTAGAGATGTGGATGCCCCTGCCATGTTGAGAAACAGCAAAAGGCCAGTATGGCTGAGCATTGTCAGCCTGCCAGAGAGCAGGAATAGTTAGGCTTAGAAAGGTGGGCAAGTAGCCAGATCCTGTGGAGCCTATGGGTCATTATAAGAGCAACAGGAAGCTCTGGGAGGAGGGTGAGTCCAGGAATGACTACATCTGATTCATGTTTTTAAAAAGTCTTGCTGTGTGTGTGTGAGAGAGAGAGAGAAGTACACAATGGAGAATCACAAAGGCCCACAGGAGACCAGCAAGGAGGCTTTCTTGTTAGCTTGAGCTAGGATGGCAGCAGAGTACAAGGTGAGAAAAATAAAACACATTGCTTTGTAATGTGTTTTATTCATTTTAGTTTTATTTAGATACCCTTTGATTGCAGTGGATTTGGACTTGGACAGTATGTGAGGAAACAATAAGATCACGATTCTTAGATTCAGGGCCTGATGGCTGGGTTAATAGTGGAAGAGTGACTAGAGAAGCATAGGGTGGACCATACTAAGGAATCTTGAATTGGTGGTCATAAAGAAAGTGAGACCATACAGTGTGGTTATGTGATTTTCCTCCAGCCACCCTCCATTGCTTGGGACTTGGAGGAGACTTGGATTTGATCAGGACTGGGTTTTGCTGGTGAAAGTCGATGGGAGGGGTCAATTACCCAAGGAAGTGATTATAGAAATAGATCTTGGAATCTGAACTGGAAGAGAAGAGAAAGCAAGTAAAAAGTGGTGGTCCCTGTGGGAAGGAACAGTTGCAGAGGAAGCAATCCAATGAGTGAGGGCCAGGGGACTTTCCAAGGATCAAGCATGGGGAAGTAAGGCCATTAGGGAAGAGGAAGCACAAAGTATCTGTGAGGGAAAAAAACGGTTCCAGCTGGCACCAAAGAGCTAGGGAAACAGCAAAGCCTTTGGGCTACAGCCCTCATCCTGGTGTGTGAACAGGGAGACACTGAAGGGCCTGACTGCCTACTAGTACTCTGTAGGGAACTGCACAGACCAGGGAGAAACTGAACGCTAGAGGGGATAAGCCAGGCAGATACAGCCTAGGCTGCTTTATAAACACTGGGAGACCCACTGGATATTTCACTTTCCCCACACCATGGACACACTCTTACCTAGTGTTTGATCGAAACTAAAAAATATCTTTCCTCCAATGTTCGGCTCTTCCTCCTCTTGACTTTCCCTTTGCTGCTCACAGCACCCTCTTTCTCAGTCACTGGACTGTCAAAGCCTTGGCATCCTTTAATCTTTCTTCCTCACCCTTATGCCCAATTAGTCCCAAAGTGTGTTGTGATCTGCACAATCCAATTGTTCTGCCATGATGGAAATCTTCTTTATCTGCAATGGTCCACATGTGGCTAATGAGCACTTAAAATGTGACCAATACAATGAGGTACTGAATTTCAAATCTTGTATAATTTTAATTAAATTTAGATTTAAATAGCTGCGTAAGCTAAGGGCTACCTGTGTAGCACAGTTATAGATATTTCCTACCCAATGGCTCTTCCATCTGCTCCTTCCTCTGAAGCTACATTGCCATAATTCTAGTATCAATTTTTTTTTAACCCAGGGGCACTTATCCCTTTTTTTTTTTTTTTTTTTTGTATTTTATTGGAGACAAGGGTCTCACCAAGTTGCTTAGGGCCTCATTAAGTTGCTGAGGAGGCTGGCTTTGAACTCACAATCCTCCTGCCTCAGCTTCCCAAACCTCTGGGATTATAGGTATGTGCCATCATGCCCAGCTAGATCAGGTATTGATTTACTCTTAATCTAAACTTTTGTTTTACTTCTGTTTGGTCTCCTGCTTAGTTGCTTTTCCATCAGTCCATCTTATGTTCTTGCTAAAATCGTCTTCCTAAGCAATGACCATATCACGACTCCACCTATTCTAGAAGTTATTAGTAGTTCCCTATCAAATTAAGCACAAACTCTTCAATCTGACACCCAGTTATGTATCTCCGCCACTTTTCCAGTCTTACATTTCACCATACCCTTATATGTAAAGTAAACTACTTGCTATTATTCTATTTATTAAACTCTGTCTGCCACAGATGCCTCCAATTCCCTCTACCAGAGCCCAAATCTGTTGAAGGCCTGTCCCATATCACAGCTCCTACTTGGAGCCTTTTCTAATTTCCTCCTCCTCTGAAGTCCCCACAGTTTCTATTTCTACTTACCTGTGGTATATTTTGTGTATTTCTTTTATTCCTGTTACTAAATGTCACTCCTTGCAGGTCACTGCATGTCAATTGTATTGTATGCATGTCAATTGTATGCAATGTTAGTCCTGCACCTTATGAAATAGCCACCAAATGAAACATATGCTTTGTTGAAACTTTGCTATTATGAAAGTATTTCTTTTCTTGTTATTACTGGCCAAGTATTTCTTCCAGATGCTTCCCCAACTTAGGATACCTTGGCAATTCCATTAGAGCTTGTAACCCTAGACAGTGTGGGTATACTTAGAACTGGCAGGACCAGCATAGCCACTTCCAGGATCAATTTGTGGGAAAGGCCTTTAAGAAGCGGATTTGTATCAGATTGTGATACAAATCAATAAAAAGAACTTTCTATCTAATAAATGTTTAGAAAATGTATTTTTAGAGCTTGAACTGTTAGAAGCCTGTAACCCAAGAGTAGAATTACATAGGCTATGCCCTGCAATATCTGATGTACTTTTCCTGTTGGCACAATAGAATTTAAGAATTTGAAAAGCAGGTATAGTATTTTAAATAAATAATTAATTAATTTTTGCAGTCCTGGATATCAAACTTAAGACCCTGAGAATGCCAGGCAAGTATTGTACCATTGAGTTCCATCCCATTCCATTTTTAAACAAAACGTACCATATACACTTAGGACCTTATGCACAATTATTCAATACACCTTAGCAGAGGCTTGCCATTTACCAAGGACTTCTGCTTGTTGCTGAGGATACAAAGATAGGAAAGATATGATTCCTGCCTTCAAGAACACATGGTAAAGACAGGACCTGGCTTTGGCATGCATTTTTACAGTTTCAGGATGATTCCAGTTATCAAAAAACATTAAATTCAGTATTATTAGCCTCATTTTTAGAGGGGAAAAACTTGTTTGGAGAGATTCAATAAATTTGTACAAAATCACAGAGCTAGTAATTGGCAAGGCCTCAAAGAGGCACCTGAATCTTCAGGTATCAAAACATTGGTTGAATTAAAATGTAAGTTCCTTGAAAATAGCAAGTTGATCCATTTTTCTCATTGCTATATTCTCAGTAAATATGAGTGTAGAGAATGAAAGAGAAAGAACATGAGAATATAAGCCAGCCATCTAAGTCGTTAGTTATTTGTTTATTTTAATTAATTATGTGCTGAGCTGATATTACCGATATTAGTGCTAAGGTAAAATGTGGTCCACAGATTAGTACTAATGTACAAATTGTTTATTACCAGTGAATCTTGAGATTAGCACAGAAAATGAGCAAACATTTAGGATCTCTTTTGGCAACTTGGCGTTACTGTGACATCTCAGCAAGTGATCAGTGGACTTGAATCATTGAACCTGGAGACAGGTAAGTTCAGGTGTCCAACTTGGATAGGGAGTCCATATGGCATATTCTGTGTACTAGTCATACTGCATCTAATTCAGTCCCACCCTTTAGGCTATTTACCACCCACCTGTTCCACCTCCTGGAGATTCTTTACTATGTAACCAAGAGAATGCTTCCTGTCTTTGAAGTGAAAGTCCCAACAGATTTGAAATTTTTTAAAAAACTGCTCTTCACCACAGAAGTTAGATCTACTAATCTTATGATGTGGAGACATTGTTGTGCAGTAATTATGTATATGATCCCTGGAATGAGATGACATAGGTTTAAATGCAGGTTCTGCTACTTACCAACTGCTTCCGCAAATTGCTTAATCTCTTGCAGCCTCAGTGTTATTATCTGTAATATGTACTTTAAAAAGTATAAAATTTCAGAGGGCCTTCATAAAAAACTATGAAAGGTAATGCAGTTTACAGAAACTTGAACATGATGAAATGTTATAATAAATATTTTCCTTATTCTGGATCATAAAAATTTATGATATTTGCAAAGTTTTTCAAAACCTTCACAATAGAGATGATTCTATCAATATCCAACCTTGTAAATAAACAATCACTTTCAGTTATAAACATTGTTAAAAGATAATACATATCAGCTAATTCTAAAAGTTCTTTATTTGTATTTGTTTAATATTTTGTATTTGTTTACTGGGGAATTGAACCCAGGAGCATTCAACTATTGAGCTACATCTCCAGCCCTATTTATTTATTTATCTATCTATCTATCTATCTATCTATCTATCTATCTATCTATTTATTTAAATTTTGAAATAGGACTTTTCAAGTTACCCAGGCTGGTCTTGAACTACAATGTGATCCTTCTACCTGAGCCTCCTGAGTCGTTGGAATTATAGGTATGCGCCATTTTACCCAGCAAAATTTGTTTTTTAATGCATGATATGATATGAGGGACACTACATTTAGTTTCTAGGTGTCCATTAAAAGCAGTTATTTCTTCAGCTCAGCTTGTCTGTAGGTGAAAGAAGGCAGCCAGGCAGGTGCATGTGTACATTGCATGAAAGCATGGGGGTAGAGCTCAGTGGTAGCATATATGCTCAGCATGTGCAAGACCCTAGGTTTAATCCCCAACAATACACACACACACACACACACACACACACACACACAGTTATTTGATGGCATATAGGTTGCCTACTTCTATATAAATTCAAAAGACTTCATATGCAGTCTCTTTCTGCTGAACTCTAGCCTGCTCATTCTTCTCCATTTCCTTCTGTGAACTTTGTCATCTGGAAGAAAGCAGCTACTCACCCATGCAGCTCTGCAACTCCTAGAAAGAGTCAAGGATTCCTGCACTAAGGAGGCTGGATAATGATGAGCACCAGGCAGGCAGGACACACTGGCTGAAAAGAGAGCCCTGTGTAGGCAGAGAGCCAGAATGTCAGAAGTAAGCAGTCCTTTTTTATCTGGAAGGAAAAGCTTGCACTTACCTGCACTATTGGGGACGAGACTGTCACCAGCCCAACTCAGCCTTCAATAAGTGGAGGGAAAAGGAATCCAAGAAGGGTTTGTACCATCTTTATGGATCTGAATTAACATTGTTCTATAACAAAACTCAAATGTGTAAACTGCAAATCCAGGAATCCAATATATGACATCTGAATTTACAGAAGGCAGAATGGTATGATGAGGGTTATTAGATTTAACAATAAAAATATAGGATTCCTGATTTAGATTTGAATTTTAAATAAACAAATATATATTTTAGTATAAGTATGTTCCAGGCAGTATTTAGAATTTGTATATCTGAAATTCAAATATAACTGGATGTCCTGTATTTTATCTGATAACCCTATAGGTGGTTAAACATGCAGGCTCTGAATCTATAATCCATGCTGTATAAGTTCAAATTCTGATCCTACCACATATCAGTTGCGTGGCTTTGGGCACATTACTAAACTTTCTAAGTCTCAATATTGTAAAATTTGGATAACATTTACTTCATACCAGGACTGAGGTTGTAACTCGGTGGTATAGTGCTTATCTAGCACATGTGAGGGACTAAGTTTGATCCTCAGCACCACATAAAAATAAATAAGTAAAATAAAGGTATTGTGTCCATCTACAACCAAAAAAATTTTTTAATCACCTCATAGAGTTGTTGTTAAGAGTAAATGATATACATAAAAATTTATAATGGTAACTGACACAGAATAAGGGCTGATAAAAATATTAGCTATTTTTATAGGGAAAATTAATGGTTTTTCATAACCAAATATCTTTTTTTAAATTTAACATTATTTAACGTTAAATTATTTAATGTTAAATCTGGGTGGAAGGTGTTTTTGCCTCCGTATTTCCTTGGTACTTTCAATTTAGTTTACAACAAGGTGAACTAACATAACTTTCAGACTCACTGTTATGGTATAAAGGAACACATACCTTATAGAATCAGAAAATTTCCTATTCCTTCCTTTGATGCCTAACAAGTGAAGTCAATTTTTTTCCCATTTTTTTATTGGAACATTATAATTATACCTAATTGAACCCAATTTTTAAGTTGTCCTAAAAACCTGGTGCTTCAGATTTCCAGTGCACAGTTTGGGTAAGTGTTCACAAAAGATTCATTAAACATTCACTAGATCAAAATCAGGAGTCAGTGATAGCCCCTAAATGAAATTTTGTTTCTAAGGTATTTATTATAGGATTTTTGAACTCTATAGATTATTTAAGAATAACCAACTTATGTAGATAATTTCAGTTCTTGAATAGAGTTCTGTTAGCACAAAGTTAAACACCAAACAAGAAGAAATTATATAATAGAAAGTGTAGTGGGCTTAGAATCCAGAAATTTGGTTCTCCCACTCAGTACAAGTCACCTAATGCTTCAAATATTTGCTTCTTCATTTATAAATTGAAAATATTAATATCTACCGTAAACAGCAAAAAAAAAAACCCAGAGTTAAATGAGATAACTTAAGGACAAATACAATACTGGGAATAAAGTAAACACTCAATAAATGCCCATTAACATGAATCTGTTTATTCATTAGAAAGAAGACCAGAGAGGAACACCAGAGGAAGCTTAAAGAAAGATCCGAGCCTGGGATTTATGCTACTTTATATGGCTGAGCTAAAACTCCTTACTCTGTCCACATCTGCTTCTGGATGAGAACCAATTACTTCCAAACAATGATACAACCTAAGGGGAATGCAAAAAAGGACTCCATCCATCTTCCCCATCTTCAGGGCCATGTGTGTGTGTGTGTGTGTGTGTGTGTGTGTGTGTGTGTGTGTGTGTG